TTTTATATCTTTTTGAACAAAAAAGAAAAAAATAGCTTTAACTTCGGTTGCACCGAAGCTATAATACCCTGCACAAATACAAAGGATTATTTTTTCCATATAAGCACTTTATTCCGTTCGTTCAGGTTTTATGAAAACTATATGCTATGGTGATCTGATATCGGCGATTCCGACAAATGGGCAGCTTCTTGAAGATCAATAGACGTGTGCAAAATTTCAGATCGATATCTAAAACTGAGGGCCTAGATCGGGTATATACAGACAGATGGAGAGACGGACATCATTCATCATTTGTGTCTCCGACGTTTCCTTTTGGGTGTTACGAATATCGTGGCAAATTTAATATACCCTGTTCAGGGTATAACCACAAATAAATAAAACAAGTAAGGAAGATCTAAGTTCGTTTGTAACCGAACATATTTAATATACGGTACAGTAATATAAGGGATTTTCGGGATATTATTATAAGAAATTCTTTCGGAAGTTCATTAAGATTTCGATTGACCGATAGATGCGATATAAAGTCAACCGGACGTTCGAAAATATATATATTGTGTTTATGGTGGTTAAGTGAAGTGAAGACCCACACAACTATTCTCCCCGAATTTCAATACTATAACTAGCTGGCCGATATGTTCGGTAAAAAATCAGCCATAGGCATAAGATATATACCCGTACGACACTATTTGAGCAAAGTTCTTGTATTACTCTAATAACTTCATTGATGTTTCATCTGCATACTGAAAAGTGAAAGAATCAGATGGAATTTAAAAGTTTGTTATATGGGAAGTAGGCGTGTTTATCAATCGATTTCGCAATTTCTATAGTGCACATTAATAATAATTCGATAATCTCACACATCAAATTTGGTTGAAATTGGTCAAGTAGTTACTGATATGGGGATTCCACCTAAAAGTGGGCAGTACCACGCCAATTGTCCACTTTTGTAAAATTTAATGTTTGTGGCTCCTTTATTAAATGAGTTATATCCCTTATAGTAATTTTCAACATAACCGTTATATGAGGAGTGAGCGTGGTTATTATCCGATTTTATCCATTTTCACAGCAAGTTTGGTTGAGATAGCTTTAGTGGTTTGGAAGATATGTACAATAAAGCATTTAAACGACGGGGCACACCCACTTTAAAAAGTACCAAATTACAGTTTTGTATCTTAATTTAGTACTCAGTTATGACACTTTATAAGTTTTTGTTTGATGGTGTTTTGTGGGCGTAGCAGTGGTCCTATTACGCCCATCTATAATATCAACCCTCCTTGGGTGCTAAGGAACATAAGTTTGTACGAAGTTTCATCAAGATATCTTACTTTTTACTCAAGTTACAGCTTGCACAGACAGACGCACGGACGGACGAACAGACAGTCACCCGGATTTCAACTCGTCTTGTCATCCTGAACATTTATATAAGTATATATATAATAACCTTATATCTAACTCGATTAGTTTTAGGTGATACAAACAACCGTTAGGTGAACAAAACTATTATACTCTGTAGCAACATGTTGCAAGAGTATAAAAACTCGGACAGTAACAGTGTGCGTTTATTGGCGCTAACTGCGTAATGGGCACGAGCTATTGTGTCCGGCTCTGGTTGAGCGTCTGAAAATGTGTACATTCACTCACATACATACATACATACCGGTGTGCCAATATATAGTCCCAGTAGGCAATAATTGGTGTCAATTGAGAGGACTTTTCGGGCAATTAGGCCGTTTTGCAGTCTGTAAGTTATAATTGCTCTCTAAACATACTAGAAAGCCAATTGTAGAAAGTTTTAACTTTCTGTCCGTACGGTTATGGATAATCGAAATCAGCCGGCGAATTTCTAAGTGTTGTTGTTTTTTGTTCTCTGCCGGCTTTTTTTTGGAGCCCCTCTTTGCATGCAATGAACATCTCACGCGCTAAAGCTGAGTGAACCACATGCTTCGGGATTGTAGTGAATTGGACAGAGAAGAATTTTTCTTTACACTTTTATACACATTAAAGGACCATAAAATACACCTTCGCCAAGAAAAGTCGATTTTCGAAATATGATTCTGTATTGATGAAGGGTATTACAGCTTCGAAGCTGAACTCAAGTTAACGTTTTTTCTTTATTTGTATTAAGTTTTAACTTTTTTTCCAAATTTGTAAAAAATGTATTTATTACAATGAGTGAAAGTCGAAATAAAAGCTTCAGCTTCATTGTTAAATTTAATTAATATTTTTTTTTGTATTAAGTTTTAAAATTTGTTTCGAAATAAAAAAAAAATAGTTCATTGGTATGAGTGAAAGCCGCTATGAAAGCTCCAGCTACACAATGAAAGCTTCTCAGATTTTTTTGTGTTTAAACATTTATAAAAGCGGTAACGTATTCTACATTGTAAGAATCAACTCACAGAAGCTTGGCTTTTAGATATCAAATTGAACAGATTTTTAGAAATTACTACAGAGTTTATATGTTCCAGAAAAATATTCGTCGGTAGTTTTTACTGCGACTCTTATCAAGTAAGTATTGTATTTTAATTTGAATTTTACTATTTTATAATCGAATTACAACGCCTTGAAATATGCTACAACTTTTCAATATATACTAATTTTTGAAGTTTTTCTTAAATAAAAAATTTGCTAAAGCGTATATGCATAACAGTGATGCCCAAAAGTGGTTTCATAGCATTTCGACGCAGTTTTCAATTCACTACTTCAGTTCTTGTCGCTGATGATTTTCGATTTTACAACATGAACAACACTTGTCACGATATATATGTATATGTATTTGTTGTTTATTTATTTCACGCATGGTTTGTTAATCATGTATGTATGAATGTATGTGGGTTTTTGCATTTTTTGCGCGCTTCTTTTCTTAATTTACTTTTTATGGTGTGTTAGGCTTTTTGTTGCCGGCATATGTTGCGGTATTTTAATTGAAGGTTTTTTCAGTCGATGCTGGAAGGCCTGAGATTGGGATGCGTTTGCATTTCAGAGTTTGTGCGAGAAAATGGGAAAAAATATGTTAAAAAAAAAATGAAGGCAAAAATACAACGTTGACAATGTGGATATGGAAAAATAGACAAACAGAAGTGGTGCATTGCGGCGGCACATGTTACAAATCGTTTTTCACGCGCCCGAACGTGCACACACTCTAACGAAAGCATAAAAATTCACACCGAAGCATGTACTGCGGCTTATGGGCAAAAATTAAAGCCTGCTTTCAGGCGCTTAATGACATGAGCACGGTTGTGTGGTCAAAATAGCATATTAGTAGCATATTGTGAGCTTTTTAACTGCGCAAAAATCGAGCGATATACATTCACACACATACACACAAATAGCTTTTAAGTTATGCAAGCCTGCATGTATGTTTTCAATAGGCTGATAGGATTGTAATTAAGTACCAAACAGGTATATTAAAACATGATGCATAAAAACTATACATTTCTCACATTTATGCTAGTTTTATATACATAAGTCTATGTATATGTGTGTACGTTTGAGTAAGTAGGCATTTTAAACGCTTTCACTAAAACTATGCAAAAGTGCACATGTCGGCATGTCAGCGGATACCGCACCTCCCGTACACAATGTCGATAGCAACAACAATACCAATATTTACAACAACAGCAGCATTTACCGCTACAATGCCTGCTATAACCACAATGACCTGCGTGCAACGCATTTTGCTAGTGGCAATGCCGCGATTACCCGAACATGAAGCGAGTAGGCAATAAATGACACGCACACAAACAAGTCGACAGGGCATAGGTCCAAAAGGTTCACCGAACATAATGGAATTGTGTAGTAGCTTATGGAACTGCGAGCAGCTCTGTGGTCAATAGCATAGTTTAGAGCGCAGTTAATGCGATTCCAGGCATTCAGTGTCGCCCGATTAAATTATTCACATTATAAGTGAGAGGGTGTGTGTGTGCAGCGCAAATAGTTTTTGCAGCTACGGGCGTACTGAAAGCAACACTTCCGCAGGATACACACACACCAGCTTAGGAAATATTGCACATCAGCATGCAAATAGTTCACTCGCACGCCTGCAAGTATGCAACGCAGCTAATGGAGCATATAGTAAACTGTATTTAAAATGTAATTTGTGTGCATGTGTATTTGTATTAGGGTGCCATTGACAGATATCCTGTGCCATTCCATTGTATAAATACGTAATAGAAAACATTGCCGGTCAAAGACTCCAGCTTGAGCTGGCCGATGTTTAGTATATGTGTATAATATTCAAAATTATGCTTATAGTCGGATTTGCACGGCATGTGCACAATATGCGTGAATATTTATTAGGGTGGTATTTAAATGTAGAAAGAAGTTCAAAATATTTATGTTTTGGACCTGGTACAGCTGAGTTAGGAGCATTGTACATTGACACTTAAAAAATGCATTGATGTTTCATTTGTGTAATATAAAGTGAAAGAATGAGCTCACACAACAAATTTAGTCGTAATTGGTCAAGTAGTTCCTGAACTATAGTACTTGTACGAAGAACTGGGGGTTTCCAAGATACATTATGTCCATTAAACCAACGTTTATACGATGACACGCCCATTTTTTAAAAATTTTAGATAGCCCACGGGTGTCACTCGCTACTGTGATCACCTGTACCAAATTACAGTTTTTTATCTTAATTTACTGCTTAGTATTGGCTTAACACCACTTTGTAGGCGTGGCAACGAACCGATTCCGCCCATTGGCCGCAATACCAACCCGCATTGGATGCTAAGGAACACGTGTATGAAATTTCATCAAGATATCTTGCTTATACCGGCAGACGAACATTCGCTCGGAATTTAGCTCGTATCTTCATCCTGATCAATTATAAATGCATACCCTATATCTATCTCGATTAGTTTAAGGTGATACAAACAAGCGTTAGTTGAACAAATTATTATAATCTGTAGAAACATGTTGCGAGAGTTTATAAATCTGGCGTTGATTAGCACCACTTTTGCCTAACTTTTAACTCTAATACTCCGTTCTTATTTTTACAGGTACAAAATCGAAGTAGCTGGCAAAAGTCTTCCAGTGTTAACGAATCTCGACAAAGGCCGCTACGGTGTGATCGTTTTCGAAAATCTCGACAAATACTTGAATATGGACAAATGGAATCGTGAGCTACTGGATAAATACTGTCGTGAATACTCCGTGGGCATAGTAGGTTTTGTCAGCCCGAGTGAGGAGACTTTGGTGGCTGCGCAGCTGCGCGGTTTTCCGCTCTACATACATACAAATTTGCGCCTACGTGATGCTAGCCTCAATCCCGTCTCGCCAGTATTGCGTCTGACGCGTGCCGGTGAGACAGCGTGGGGCGCATTACCCGGCGATGATTGGGCGGTCTTCCAACACAACCATACTACCTACGAACCGGTTGAATGGGCGCAGCGCAACACGCAGGATTATCCATCAGACAGCGGCGGTCAAGTGCAATTGCCACTTACCACTGTGCTGCAAGATCATGGACACTTTGATGGCATACAGCGCGTTTTCTTCGGCAGCAGTTTGCGTTTCTGGTTGCACCGCCTGCTATTTTTGGACGCGCTGTCGTACTTGAGTCACGGTCAGCTGAGCTTAAGTCTTGAGCGTATGATATTAGTGGATATCGACGATATTTTCGTGGGTGAGCGGGGCACGCGCTTGCGGCCCGACGACGTGCAGGCGCTTATAGCCACACAGCGTATTATTGCTTCGATGGTGCCGGGTTTCCGCTTCAATTTGGGTTTCTCCGGCAAATTCTATCATCACGGCGAGCGTGAAGAGAATTTGGGCGATGACTATTTATTGCGCAATGTGCAGGAATTCAATTGGTTTTCGCACATGTGGAAGCACCAGCAGCCACATCTATATGACAACCTGACTTTGCTTATGTCAGAGATGCAACTGAATTACGCCTTTGCCAAGGAGCACAACATACCCACTGACTCCGGCTACTCAATATCACCGCATCATTCGGGTGTATATCCGGCGCATGAAATACTCTACATAGCGTGGAAGAAAGTTTGGAATGTAAAAGTCACTTCTACGGAAGAGTACCCACATTTGCGGCCTGCACGCTTACGGCGTGGCTTCATACACCGCGACATAATGGTGTTGCCACGGCAGACATGCGGTCTCTTCACACACACCATGTACATCGATCGCTATCCTGGCGGGCGTGATAAGCTTGACGAATCGATACAGGGTGGCGAACTCTTCCAAACTATAGTCTATAATCCTATCAATATTTTCATGACTCATATGTCTAACTATGGTTCGGATCGGCTGGCTTTATATACGTTCCAATCGGTGATAAAGTTCCTGCAATGCTGGACTAACCTGAAACTCAGCTCAGCGCCGCCAATTCAACTAGCGGAAATGTATTTCCGTCTACATCCCGAAGAAGTGGATCCTGTTTGGGGTAATCCGTGCGACGATCCACGCCATAAGAAAATCTGGTCGAAAAAGAAAAGCTGTGATTCTTTGCCCAAATTTCTAGTGATTGGTCCACAGAAAACGGGTACAACTGCACTCTACACATTCCTCTCTATGCACTCAAGCATCACTAGTAATATACCCAGCCCCGACACTTACGAAGAAATACAATTCTTCAACGGCAACAATTATTATCGCGGCCTCGACTGGTACATGGACTTCTTTCCGTCTGACTCGAACCCCAACACCACCGTGGCAACCACAACGCGTTACATGTTTGAGAAAAGTGCGACCTATTTCGATGGTGAAGCCGTTCCAAAACGTGCTCACGCTCTCCTACCGCATGCAAAGATTGTATCGATTCTCATCTCGCCAGCGAAGCGCGCCTATTCGTGGTATCAGCATCAACGGGCACATGGTGATGCCATCGCCAATAACTACAGTTTCTATCAAGTGAGTTGTTTTTAAAATTCATATTTTATGAATTTTTCTGTTTATATGAAATAAGGAGAGAAAGTTACATTTCTCCTTTTAACTTTTATTCTGCTATTACAACGCCGACTATGAAGGCTTATGACACAAAACAGAATAATATTAAGGAATGAAGATTGATATGTAAAACTATGATTTTATAGATTAAATATTGGAAAAGTTTAGTAAATTTATAGAAATAGTGTTTTCTCATAAGAACCGTCAAATATCTGGCTTAAAACCAAAACATTGAACCTATAATAATTCTTAGGTCACACATAGCTCAGGTATTTCTCACACAAATTCCCGAGCATCATTATACTCGAAAAGAATACAATGTTGGTCGAATGTACAATGACTAGATATTATATTTGATGTTGCCAAACTTATTGGGTCTATAACTATATTTTCTCATCTTTCTAGGACTCCATCCCAAAAGAACTGCGCCGGCATGGCGACCAAAAATTAATCAAGCCAATTTTTGATAGCTTGTTCTGATGTGAACCGTATTTCAGAGAGGTCGTTCTGCATCGATTCCGGGCAGTTTTCAGCAATTGCTCGCTTTAGATTGATGAGTTGTTGTCAGAGTTCTCCATTAATCGTTTTAGCCATAGTACGTAGAACGCCCTTCTGGTCCCATCAAATGCAGAGCATTATCTTAGCGTCATGGATATTCGGCTTATCCGTTGATTTGGCAGGTTGCCGAGGTCTCACATAGGATTTTGTGCGCCTAAACTGGCAACATTTTTCAAATGCAAAATTGTCTTTCAACGTCTCTTCATATGGCACCAAATTTCCTTGCTTTTAAGATTTTTGCTAAAGATTCTTCGAGCTTTGTTTTTATTTTATTTGCCAACAATCTTCATCGAGAAATCTTTCCAGTTTCTCAGCTTCAAACTTCTTTTGCCCAGGACGTTCTTCATTTTCCAAGCCAAAATTGTCATCGTTTAAATCCTACGAACTACTTTGGGCACGCTTGTTCAGCTAAACTTCCAGCATAAGTTCGACTTGTTTGATTTAAAATAAATTATACAGCCCAAAAAAAAAACAATTTTTTTTGTTGCCTTGGATATCTTAGCAAATTTTGATAATCAAATTCTCAACTCTAACTCCGCAAACATCTGGATAAATTTTCGAATAATTATGGAAAATATAGTTAGGAACAGGAACAGAGAGAGCGGTTCAACCAGCTTCTATAAGTGATGAAAGAATGGTAACAAGGTTGTTGAGATCGTCATATGATGGCAGATTAATGCTGGTCCCTAAAAAGATATTACCACCAGAAAAATTACAAAAGAAGATTCTGATTGGATTTGCTCCTTTTCGAACATATGCAAAACCAACATTCGAAATCAGCTGTTTACTAATGTGACAAAGTTTGCAAATGAATAAATTTGGAAGCGTTTGATAAATTTGAAAACCGAATAAAGTCTACGAAAGTTTATAATGAGTTCCGCTATTTGAGCTTTTATTTTATTGGAAGAAAAAAACAATGAAAAAATTAAAAGGAAAGATATTAAAAGCTCACAGTAATCCACTTGATGCACCAGCGGAGTCGCATGTGAAATTTGGCTTGAATTTACTTCTAATTACTAATTTCAGCATTTTTTACTGTCCATATAGCTCGATTACCGAGCCAGTTATGATTTAAATAACTATTTGGTGCGACTGGGAAAATACGGGTAATTAATTAATTTTGTCCGTGTACAATAGTGCTAAAATTGGCTGGAAGTTTAGGGCATTTCGTATTTGGTTGCAGTTAGTATATGAAATCTAACTTCTATTCTGAAATCTAACTCATAGTATACATATTTTATTATTATTAAATACTTACATTAAAATGAAATCATCACTGGTATTATTAATGTTACCGTCAAAGTCGGTACACTTAATTGTGGCGAGTAAAATTAGTAAATTAGTGCGTTTCCGAACAAATGATGCTCTTTCAATATAGTCTATGGCTGTGAATGCTATGCGTCGTTACGTGGTTTTTTAAAATATGCAAATTTAAATGAATTTTTTCAATCTTTCTGAGACATTTTCTTAATATTTTTTTCCGAAGAACCTTCTACAGAGCATTAGAAAACTACAAAAAAAAAAAAAAAAACAAAGCCAAATCGGTCTCACCGTTCTCAAGTTATGGCGTGACAACGGGAAACGGGTTTCATTTGTATATATATACAATAGATAGATTATCGACTGAATAAAGACGCATTTGGTTGTTAAATTACGTTTATTACGTTTTTTAAATCCTTTTAAAATATTAAGATATTTTCCATAAACTCAATAATTATGACATTTTGTGTTTTATTCTTATGTTTTCACCTATAGAAATAACGATAAATTAAATCGTAACAATAATATAAATTAATTTCTTAACTTACATTTCAAATCTGTCAGCGAGTATCCTCTTGCTTATCGCTCTCCTCCGATACAATTTGTATTTCGAACAACAAACCAATAATATCTGAATTTATGACACCTACTACATTTTTGTATCGGTTGCCATTCTGATTCCGACAACTATCAGATAGTACAACGCCCCTGGTTATTTTGTTTCATGTTTTCTGATTTTTGTGGTGTAAATTAACAAGATTTAAAAATAAACGACAGCAAATCTTACAAAACCATTGATGGTTTCATGAACTGTGGAATTAAATGTATCCAAAATTAATCTTATATATAATATATATCGAAACAATGGAATGATAATCAAGTTACGCTATCTCTTGGCAAACCTCACGTATGTAGTAATAGACCCAATAGTTTTAAATAAAACTATATACCGTATAGACCTGACTTGAATTGGATTATGGAACTCTATTAGATTACATTCAGGTTAGTAACATAATTATTGGAAATATCAGACATTATTAAGCTTTTCGTCATTTATAAAAAAATATTAGGAAATAAACTTACTCGATGAGGTTGACTAAAGAGCCATCTTAGTTTGTTGAACTGATTAAACTTTCTATGGATAATTGCAACCATATTAATGCTGTGATGAAATAACTTGACTCACTTTTCAACCAGAACTCTAAGAGGCGACTTTACCCGTCATAGTCATCCTTTTCTAAGATAATATTGAAATTTGTATACAATTGTTTTTAAAGAATAATAAAGCCTTTCAAAGAAGATGACCACACAATTCAGATCAGTTTGGACGTTGCCACATAATTGGCAGCAGAGTAGGTTCAAAATTTATGTGCATATAACAATTTCTGGGAAATTCGGATTTCAACACAAATGACTCCTTGGCTCTTGATCTTTAATCTTTAATTAAGCACTTGCTTCAAATGATTTATCATTTAATTAAGTTTCTCAAGTTATTTGGCTATTATTCTACATGAATATACATGCGTATATATTGTATATGTATATGAATACAAAATTTATATAAATAAATACAAATATATAAAGCAGCAGATTTCCTGCTCCAGTTGTTTCCATACACTCGCTAAGCTATGTACATAAGTCATAGCCGACACGAAGTCAAGCGTGTTTGCAAGACTCAGGAAAATCATAAGCCACATATATACACCCAAATCCTATTTTCTTACCACAATGCCATTGTCGACTCCACCAAGCGAAAGGAGTGGAGGAAGAATATTCTATCGATGGTCTTCCAACGTCAGTACGAAGGCTTGAAGTGGACTTAAACCACATGCCACTTGAATTATTGCACGGATACGAATGATGAGGAGTAAATAATAATGTTCAACTTGTGGTCTACAGCAGTCTGTATAGAGGTGTAAGCATGTTCTGAATCATTTGATTGAATGATCCGAATTACGATTTACCGTTGCATTTATTGCATTGAAGAAACTAAAATCCTTATCAGATATGAAGCTAAAATTGAGAGTGATTTGGTGGAAAAGGAGGTTTTTGAACTACTATTAAAATAGTTTTAAATGCAATTCATGTTATGAGAGTTAAAAAGTGCAGGCTAGAAAAACTCTTCATACAGCTAGATTCCAGTAAATATATCTTGACAAAGTAGAGCAATCCGCTCAATAGTTGCCGCTTTTCCGTAACCGTCTCATCCATTCATATAAGATTCTATAGAACGCTATATTTTGATTAGAAAACAAGAAAAAACGTTAACTTCGGCTGCACTGAAGCCTACTTTTCACACGAGAATTTCTTATAACATAAAATGGTATAAAAAGATCTTAATCTTGATTTTGATACTTAATAGTTTCCTTCTGGGTAGCAAACTAAATATACCCTGAGTTCGACCAAAAGATTTACTTTTTGATTATGCAATTGAGTTTTATAGATCGCAAATTGACTTTCTCTCCCAAATATTTGACAACTTACTAACACAAAACGATAAAATATAGCTTACGCTGTGCATGATTCGAATGTCCAAAATAATGATAAAAGGATATTTTTTTCGATTTACTGAACTGTTTTCAAACTTTGATTTCTAATCGTAAATAGAGATAATGCGATTTGACAGCTGTCAAGTCATGGGCAACGAAGGGAAAATGTATTCAATAAAGTTGTATGTTCTTAAACTCAACTAACAAGTATGTCAATATATGTAGACGTAGCTAAAAAAACTGCAATAAATTAATGTTGCATGCCACAACTGTCATATGTTCGTCTATTTTTCAATAATCGATGTCATTCCTCCTGGAAATTCGATTGCAATTTCATTACTGTCTGGTTTGGGGCCATTTTATATAAAAACCGAGCTATAAAGCGTTTACAATACTGACGGTCTAACCTTATAATATCCAATATCCTAGGTTTAGCTATGTCAGGAGATTACTGAAGCTGAAAAATGAATCTATCATATTAGCTAAAGTCAGCTGCCATTGGCTGATTGACAAATCTTGCTCTTCAGTAAAGGTATCAAAATCTATTATAAATACCTGAAACCATAGGAAGTTATCAAAAGGCCAAAAAAGATGATTTAATTTAAATTTTCTGGCTGATGCACCCTGTATAAATATTTATATATTATATTATATATG